AATCCTATCCATGGTGATGAAGAAATTTACATTGTCACCAGTGAAGAGTTTAAGATCGAGTCAAAGGATATCGAAGAATCTGAACAACAAGGTTCTTTTGCTGCCCAGGACTGCTATGTTTATAGTCTTCATGTAGGCGACCATGTTGTGGGTGTGTTTTTTTTGCAGGACGATGCTGGTTCCCTTCTCGACTCTGACATCCCTAGCATCAATGCCCCAGCTGAGTCCTTGTTGACCGGCATGAATGGTACTTCCGCCACCTCAGGAACGCAAGGGTCTGGAGGCAATTTGCTTGGAAACACTGCTTCTGTGATGAGCTTCAAGTACCTTCTCCGCATCTTATCCTTCATGCCATATATACTCGAGGTTTATGAAGTGTGTGCACCAAAGGTTAAAAGACTGTGGGGCGGAACCAACTTTTCTTGAATGCATATAAGGCTTACATTTCCGACGGTTTCGAGCACACAGTCACCATTATCCATTCTTCCTCAGTTTGTGGAAGTACTTGGCCGGAAGATTGATCGGATTGATTCCGAGAAGGACTGGATTGCAACCTCCAAAAAGACCTTGAAACCGGTCCCAACATGCAAACAAAATCTAGCAACCACATCGTACTGCGCATGCATGCTGTTTCACAATGTCTGCAGGAGCGGTTGCAGAAGTTGGGGGTTGCTGCCGCGAAAACGTTTCTTGGATGCATGCATTCTGCAGTATGCGTGTGGGGTGGCATGTGTGCTTTTAGACCTGCACTATAGTTCCACGAGAGTTCACGTGCTGTGCTCGTAACACGCTGAGGTTGAGTGCATTGTTGGAGGGGCAACTTGAGAAGATGCGGAGCTTGTACGATGGGTTGACCACAACGCTTTCAGAAGCAACAGTTGCGCCTGAAACCCTTGACAGGAGTTGGGGGCGGTTGTGGCTGGGTCCTTTGTTTTTTTTTCTGTGCGTCCAAACCCTTGTATGCATGTTTATTTTATCGTGAGCGTGCATGGATCGGTGCACCCTTAGGACAAAGCGAGATGAAATCCAAAAGCAATTCGTGTCATGCACAAAGATCGATGTCGCAGTCAATGCCATGCTCGTGCGGGGGAAGTATCTAGTCTGACACCAGAAACATTGGTGTAACAGTACCTTGAAAGCCTAGAGAATCCTAGAGACATCGTGTGGTAAATGGCTCATACAAATGACACTAAGGGGGGATGAAGGCCACCTCAGAAGCACCCTCCGGATCTGGATCTGGTTCCGGAAAACCGAAAGCGAAAGCGAAACCAAAGGCGAAGAAGTCGCCAAAGGCCAAAGCATCCCCAAAGGGGAATAAGTGATTCTATAGTTTTGCTTCTTTGTGGCCAGCTGTGTGTAGGCCATGGGTACGATGCCACAAAGTTGGGGATGCATCGTGTTTCGGCTTGTCACACTCACAACCTACTGGCTACCTATTGTGTATGATGTGCGAGATTCCGCAATGGCCCGGAACTAAATTCACAGGATTGCGGGAGTCAACACGAAAAGGAGAAGTACGATGGTTCTACTGATGGTTATGTTTTACGTACGTGCATGAGCAAATCAGGACACTATTGCTTTACCAGCCGTGTTCTTGTGCCTTATGGGCAGCTATGCCAGGTCATCGACAAACTCATCGACGCGACACTGGTTTGCTACTAAGATCTACTAAGCATACTGCGATATGGCAAATCATTGCTTCGATCGATCGGCGTGGATACACACTATGAGGTCCATCTTCAGAAAGTACTAGCTCCGATGATGAACTGCCCAATGCTATGGTGGAAAGCTTTTCCAAAGGTGTTACGTGGCTTGTGGTGGCTGGCTGTTGTTTGCCATATTGCGCATGCATGTAGCTAGTGAAAATCTAAGGCTACCGCTCGCGATGTTGTCATTCAAGCGAAGCTGACAGAGAAGCTATTGAAACGACATGGATGCTTGTCGGCATTTTGGACAACAGGTCTCAAGTTTGCCTCCCATGCTTAAAGCCCAGCCTGCTGTACTACCGCTAAATCCAAGTGAGAACAACACCATGGAACCAAGGAGCTCATGATTCTAGAATTTCAGAGCTTGCAAAGCGCGGGAACCTTGACAAGGGTACTGCCAACTCGAGCCGCAACCTTCACCGCTATATCCACCAGAACAAGAAGACGCTTGAGGTGAACATCTCGTCTGTGCTAACCCCAGTCAAGGCCAAGGCTTACTCCCGAACAAAGAAAGTTGAGACCAGACCTTGGCCAGTCATCTATCTACGAGATTGGATGCGTGCGGCTTTTGATGAACCATGGAACGGTTTCTTTTTTTTGGGTGGGCTCACCCTTGCTCAATTGGACTTGGCGGAGAACATGTTGGAAACCTTCTGGCAAAGGTATTCCTATTGCGACCCTTACTGTACGCCGGCATTTCCCCGTCGGACCATTCCCATTATGTTGCATGGGGATGAGGGACGTGGCCAAGTACAGCGTCCACTCTTGGTAGTGTCATACCAACCACTTCTTGGATCAGCTGGACCGAACATTGTGAACTCCCATCAGAACCTTAGCTGCCGATAGTTTGCTGACATTTGCTGGAAAGGTGAAACACAACTTGCCATTGAGGGCTGCATTGTAGAAAGTCTTTGTGAACCTATAGATGTGCTTTTCGAGAAGGAACCAATTGTTGCCGAGGAACACCTTCACAACACGGTTGCTCTTCACCGTACTGACTTCCGAAAGGTCCGCACCTGATGGGGCAAGCCTACAAACCTTGATGCGGGCCCTTGTCGACGACATGAACCTTGCAATGACTGAGGGCATTGAGGCCCTATGTTTCCTTGTGGGTTCAGTGTGCATTCTTGGTGGTCCTTTCGTGCATAGTCTCCAATGCCCATGTTTGATTTCCCCTGTAAGGTCCAGGGCAAGACGTTCTTTCCAATGTTTGTCGGCTGCAAGGGAGATTGGCCCTTCTTGAGGAGCGTTTACAAACTCAGAACTGGGTTCACATCGAATAGGATCTGTCACATTTGTCTATCCAATGACTTTCAGCCCTGTTTTGGAAAGGTTTTTGCTGCTCTTGTTTTCTTGGATTCATACCATCGTTGGAATGCTTCTTGCTGTGGCTTTGTGAAACGCTAGATCTCAGGACTGGTTCGACTTGACGTCTTCGGGTTCAACCCGAACCTGGCCTTTCAATGGGGTGTCACCAGATCCTTTCCACAGGGGTCCTAGAGCCAGTCTCAGAGATTTGTTGCATTCACGTGAGGCCGCTGCCATCCAGATAGACCTGGCACACACGTATGCCATAGCTGGTTGGGGCAAGGACGAGGTTGCATCCATGTTGGTCTTTCTTGCTTGTCACTGCAAAGCCTTTGGACAAGGCAATGTCCACCAGAACCTGGACAATGCTTTCGGGGACTACAAAGAATGGTGTCGCGAGAACAAGAAGACAACGACTATCACGGAATTTACCTTTTCTGAACTCAAGATTACATCGTGGCCTGGCTAAGGATGCTGGATTGATGTAGTGCTGTCCATTGCATAAGGTTGTGGACGGTCACATGTTTTTTTTTAGCTTGACATAGCTCGACTCAGGCTCCGCGACTTTCCACGAGGCCTTGGTAAAGGATCGGATTGCGCTGTGGTGGGCGCCTGGCTCGAGATCGTTTTTAGCAAGATGACCCCGGATGATGTCCCAGTGCCTTGACAGCACATCCAATGCCTTGTCATACGAGTGGGACATTGTGATTGTGCGCCAGTGTTTGTCAAGAAAGCTAGCTTGCTTATTGGCTGAGGACGCGTGCCGGGATTTGTTCAAAGTGACCAAATGGGGAAACTACTCCACCTGTAAGTTCAACAGGGCCGTGTACAATGGGAGGGTCTGGCTTCATCGCACAGAGGCGCAGGAGACCATCCAACATGGATGGAACATGACAGAAACTTGAACGCAGGAAAACACGCACACCATCCAACATGGATGGAGCATGACAGAAACTTAGAACGTATACCATGTGAACACATGCATTTAACAACTTAAGAGCCCGGTTGGCAAGGAAGCCTACGGTGCTGCTGCAAGCATCTCTGCTGCGAACAACTGGTCTTTGTTCTACCTTCGCCCTAAAATACATATGCACCAGCATATTCTGTTCCTTTGTCTGCAGGCATTAGAACTTGCAGTGTTAATTACACAGCGCTATTGTGGTACCTGGCTTGTTAAAGTACGCACCTATATACACTAGCACTGCTTAAGAAAACCCGTGCTTGCTAAGGCTGCGCATGCAGTATCAAATCGATGCGGGTGCGGAGTGGGTCTTGTCGCCAGCATGTGACCTGAATGCATGTGTGCATACGTGCACATATGTGTATCCCTTACATACTTCATGGTTTCTTGTTGCAAAAGTTGGAACTGTGCAAACCTAGGCACAGCATGCTGGAGTGACGAGGACTTCATCGGCAAGGTTTCAAGAGTGCACCGAAAGGTGCATAGTTTACTTGCAGCTTTCTCCACCATACGGAAGAGTCTAATCCACTACAAAAGTCAGTGGAAAAGACACCTTGATCGAAGCAAGCTGGGAAACCCGGCCATGCGATGAACACCAAGAAGTGCGAGATAAAGTGTGTGTGCACGTGTTTGTACACCATCACCTGGTCCTTCCCCACAAAACCTAGCGCTCAAATCTTGATCGAGCGTTTTTTTGCAAAGCGAGCGCTCTTTTCCAAAACGAGCGCAAATCAAACCGAGCAGAAAAGTTTGGTTGTTAGAAGGTCTAGGGTATAAAGCGGCGCCCCCCCAGCTTCGGGACACCTAGATCGTTAAAATATCTCCATCGGGACACCTAGATCCTAGCGGGAATTTCAATCGGGATTTGCTAGCTATGTCTAAAGCTGCTCCAAACACGACTTACGTAACATATGTACGTCACCGCCACGACCGGTCATGGCGACTGGTCAGAGTCGGAATGTCCCATGGCGACGGCACCGAGCTGTCCCAGCCCGCTTCCAACGTAGATGTCTGGCATCGTTCGCCTGGGAAGAAGAAAGCCGTCTTGTAGGAGAATCCATCAAAGTCAGCCTCAGTCAGCAACAACTCATGTTGTTGAACGCTGGTCTCTTGGAGGTCGCAGTGGTCTGATCACAATGTTGGGGTGGAGGCTCAAGAAAACTAAGCACTTTCCCCATGATTTGGTGGGAAAGACGGGGGCAAGCCCAAACCACTTTGGGCAATAACTCGACCGCCCCGAACGCGAGTGTTAGATCAAATCCTGTGAGGACTGACCCAGTGTCGCAGTGGGGCGCCATCCGACTGACCCAGGATCTAGATCTGAAATACGTGAAATCTCATGAACCCAGTTGTTGCGTGTGGGTCGTACGCGTTGGAAAAGCTTCGGCCCCACACAGAGGTGTAGGTCCAAATCAGCAAACCGAAAGGAGCCCCTACAGTAACTACGACCACAAAGTGCGATCTCTCAAGCACCTGCGGAATCAATTGCACTAACCCAAGAAAGGATTGAACCTTTTGTCCTTTGACTCGGATTGGACCGGATTTTGGAGACACGTCGATCCCTTTTCAACACATCCAACACCCCAAAAAAACCTCCGAAGACCACTGATCCCGTCTTTTCCACACGGACAGTCCTCTCGCCCCTCTTCGGAAGATCCACTCTCGCCGGGGGCACGCGACGCGTGACTCCCGCGTCGAAACCGAGTGAAAGACGGAGGACCGAAGAACAGAGTGGATGAGGTGAAGATGCTGAAAGCTTCATTCCACTGTGGCTTCAGATGTCTGGGTGGTTTGCCAAGTGTTTCTCTCTTAAGGCGTTCCATTCTCATGGAGGAAGTTGTCAATGCCCAATACATGGACAGCAATGAGGCGAGAAACACATACGACCTGGATAAGTAGTGCAAAAAGTAGAATGTTCTCCAGAACAGAAAATAGAAACTATACACAATCCCAATTGTGTTGTCTTATTGTGCTCTGCTACAAAGACTTATTTGGACATTCCTGCATGTTGATGATGTTCTCTCCAGTAGTGGGTTAACCTATCAAGAACCCAAAGCTTTGCTTCTTTTGGCTTGAAGTGTCCTTCAATATCGCAGTGGGTCAGAACACTCCTGTTCTTGTTGCTGATGCTTTGAATTGGTTTTGCCATACCTTGACCAAAGGCAAAGTGGGACCCGGTTTGCCGGTTTGCCGTCTTCTTCCTGGCAGAACGGACATCAGACCTGCCAGTTGCGCCCTGGTTTGGGATTCAGGACGAACCATAACTACAAAGGATTCAGAATATGTCAGACTCATGGATCGGTCCAAAGCTGTCTTCGACGTACGAACCCTGCGTACGTGATCGCTCCGTGAATGTCTCTCCCAAAAGCTAAACGGAGTCAAAGAGTCTCGAATCTGCAACCGCGAAAGACTCAGGCCGCATTGGGCCTGTGATGGAAGAAGCCCGACAGCCTTCTTGATCCTCAAATTTGTTTGCTGCTATGCCTACACAAAAATCTCAATTAACACCCTGTGAAGCTTGGCCCTCCGCAGCAGACCTCTACCATTCTCAACTCCCATTTTTGGTGCTCAAAAAAACAACAGACCTTCCCGAAGACTCCGGTCATCGGTTGAAGCATCGATATTTGGCAAATGAGGATCACGGCCATGGGAGGCGGAGATTTCTCCGCCGGCGGTCCATGGATGGGGTGTGCCCGGTCACGGGTGTTCAAACACCAGCGGTCACGGGCGTCCAGGTGTTTTCACCCACGGCCTAATGGAATCTCAGCAACATGTCCTTTGGCAAAGGACTGCGATAGCCATGGAGTCCATGGATGTGTGCCCTTGCGATCCCATGGTCAAAATCACGTGTGGTCAGAGATATCCTTTAGACCTGATGGGTTCTTTCAGGAGACACCCTTTCCTGTTCTTCACGAATAATGCAAGCCAGGCTGACTGCTCTCCCTCCTGGAGAGTAACTGTGTCAAATTAGAGGCGTGCGATCAAAGGGTTTCCTCTCCTTTATGAGTAGCTCAGGGGGTCTGAGCCTGAACATCTATGCTTGGAGAAAGAATGGCAACGTCTTCGAAGTGGGCTTGAAAACATCAAAAAATCAAGATTCTTGGACCAAATGAACCACATACAAAAAGGGACTTCCATCTGAAAGCTCCTTTCAGGTGCGTGCACAAACCTCAGTCGCCCAGTGGCTTTCCCTTAACATGGGCAGTTTGGTTCCCTCGTCCCAACCATTTGCTCAGCACTGTTGGTGTGTGAATGAATTCACCAATGCAAACCATAACCGTTGGATCATGAGGGACCATACCTAGCATACCAAGTGGAAGTGCCACATACATAGAACATAACTGTCCTACCATCAATGTCTAACCCATCAACTGTCTGGATCAAAACCTCAAGCATCATCATACGATGATAGGCTGGATGATAGGCTGGATCTGCTCGATCTTGGAACTCAAGTGTCGGAACCCCTTTCAAGATCCGTCACCGCTTTTGCCGAAGGTCCGTGAGCGCAGGTCGCAGCTGGGGGGGTTCTCCAAAGGCCAACGGAACATCCCCGCTACCTCAAATGAAAAACCTAGGGGTCACCATCTGCTAGTGGACCCCTTTGGAGGGGTCAGTGCACATGTCTATTTCCTGGTGCCATTTGAGTTCTGGCACCGAACGACCTTTGCTCACCTTGCCCGCCATGGCATGTGGAGGGATCGGCCCCCCCAAGCGCAAGTGAAAGGTGCCAAGTTCCTGAAATGAATGGACATCAACGACGACCTAAGAAATAACATCACCATTCACGTGATATGTTATTTGACATTTACAAAACATATTTAAAAAAAACGGTACATCCTCCTCAATTTCTACTCTAAAGCGGTGATATTAACGGAACGTTCCACTGACCCCATGGAACAACGTTGGAATCCACAAAAGCCAAAAAAGAAGAACTTGCTTTTGAATGACCTGTGGGGGTGGAGGTACCTATGGCTTTCCTGGTCCTCCATGACAGCCCTGCTCGAGAGCTGCGTCGTGAACCACGCGCCCGCATCCTTCGTTCGGCCCGCCTGCAACATGGCTCCCATGCTCAAAGGGCAGTTTGGCGAGCTAGGCTGTGCCAGGGCCCCAAGGATTTGGAGGACTTTCAAAGGGCCCCCCCACAATGTCTCAATGTTACTTCATAAAATCATTTGCAAGGTCTTGCCAGGTCTGGGAATCATAAAGCACTTATTATATAGCCCAAAAAAGTTGTGCCCTGGTGTTCTATGAGAACATGACTCAGAACATGCAAACCTATGAGTTAGAACCTTGAAGGGACCCTACATTTCAAGGCTTGAACTTGTTATCTGTGCCATGTATCTGGCGCTTATAATATGCAAATGGCAGGCTCCGCTGTGGCACATAGTGGCACATAGTCGCTGCGACCCTACTGCAAGAAGCTCTGAGACTACTCGGAAGCCTCGTCTATGTTCATATAGGTTTACCCAGTCATCTTGTCATCAACTTGTCATCATCAAAACTCCGTGGGTGACCAAGGCACTTGTTCCCGCACATCTCAACTGCAGGAAGCACTCACTCAGTCGTTGTGGGAGGGCCCTTAGTCACAGAGCGAAAAAGCTCCAGAGGTGTTGGTGCGAAGGCCACTGGCCGACTATGCTGGCGCTTTTTGCATCACCTTCTAGTCTGAACCATAATTAATGCGTGTGCGTACTAGACATGGAGATCTTGAACCACTTGGTCAAGCTCACAAGGCCGTCTTTTCGGGGGGTTCCCCCACTCGAAGACGGTGCCTTGGCCATTGGGGCCCCTTCGCCATCGATCCACTTCGCAAGCCAACATGGCTGCTCTCTCAGTTAGCCTTGGGGGGCCTATCTGTGCAACCTCTTCCAAGCCGCTTCCAAAACGATCAAGAAAAAATTACCAATCGGATAACCGGCCTGCGGATTTGCTCTCTCAAACAAACCAAAACTGGGCAGTGATCTAGTTGAGAGCCAGTTCTCTGAGAATAGCAATGTAATGTTTCGACTGTTCACACATCTTATTTGATTGATACTTAGTCTCTAACTGTCACAAATCACCATTCTGCAACAAATAAAGGTGTGCTCTACTGCACTACTCTACTCATAACACATCAATTGACACAGCTACATCTTCCTCTTGCCCTATCGTCATCTCATCAGCTAGACATCCAGTACACGACAGTGGAATATCACCATGGAAACAAAGGCACCATTGCATTGCATTACCCCATCAATTGGACCAACAAACAAAGAAGAACGCCGTCCTCCAATGCCGGAAAATGCCGGAAACCAGTTTCCCCACTAATGGGACCAACTTCTGCGCCGTGGGAAGTGATATCTCATCTCCATATCATTGACGAGTCTTGTGATCTAATTGAATCCAAATCTGAGGTTCGAGGGGAAAACTGGGCCGTGGGCAACTGTCGAGGTCACTCCCATTCAAAGTAGCTGGGCTCTAATCGAATCCATTGGGGCGACCAATCTTAAACCAACTCCGCTCTCGCATGCAATCAAAACAGGTGGTGTTCTTTTAAAAGCTTGTTTTGCTGTTCAACTATGTTTAACTATTCACCTATTGTGGTGAACACACCGGTTTCTCTCTCGGGTCCATCAAATGACCATCACACCTCGATCGAACCGTATTCACCTCACCCCACACCGATGACCATCACTCCGGGTTGCCAAGTCCAAGTCATCGAGCTGTGGTGGTAGCCACTGACGAGGTTGTTCCTGAAAAAACAAGTCGGCCTGCGGACCCGAACAGAGCTGTAAACGGAATGTGTTTCGGTGATGTTCGAAGTCGTTTCGGTTGTAGTTCTGTTTAGAGGATGGAGTAGATAATGATGATTTGTGCCTTGTGCAAGCCCAAAACAATATACATGCCGCAAGCTCATGCGGTGCTTCGTATACTTTCGAGATGATTTGTTTCTGCCCGGGTAGATGTGGTGGCTGCTGGCTGGGATCGAGCTCATTCGAAGCGATAGATTGATGTTGATAGTGGGTAATCAATGATATATCTTCAATGATGCTGTGAACTTAAATGGAACCTGGGATCTAAAAGGGTACTTT